TGATACAGAGGAGCGATAGTATAACAATGTTTTGATAATGTATGCTGCAGAAGATATAGACACACTCATCAAAGTTCTTGCAGTAGTAGGTTTCAGCATTTGAATGATGGCCGTATGGTGTAATGTATGTGTGGCCGCTGTTGTCTAAGTCCTTTGTCATGGCCACATACACACGTACCAAAAATATCGGTGCAGGGTCAGATCGACAGTTCGAAACAATACGTATACACTGTGATATGTCGGGAAGGTTGGTAATGTTTCCTCATAACCCCCCCTCCACTAGGTGTTGCCATATGGCTGACAATCAGGGCTGTACCATTTTGCACAACAACTCGCCTTTTCAATACCTATCGTCACTGGTCTCAGGTGAATGCACACTACAGTATGCCATTGCTTGCGAGTTGCAATAAGCGGATCTGTCATTCAGGATGGGTGAAAGACCTCGGAATAGCTAACTCTACTTGTATTGTATATGCAGTGCTAAGTTGCTGTGTGGTGAGGCTTGTTGAGGGTCGTTGAGAGCATGACCTCACGGTTGTTTGTTGTTGTTGAGGATTGTCGGACAGTAACACGGCCTTCTTGTGGGCGGCCCGTTTGGTGGTTCGGGCTGGAGCTCTTGGAGCAGTCAGACGGATTTGGGATGGAGCTTGTCACCTGCAGATATGAAAGGATACTGCAGGTTTGCGAAGTGGAGCGGCCTCGGTCAGTGAACGCTTACCAACCCACTCTTGGACGTGGTCAGTTTCGGAGTGGCGACCCGTACTAAGGTCCGCACTTGCTGGGGAGGATACTTCCTAAGCTATCTGGGTGGTGTCGTGTGATGACCCGGAAGATGGTGAATGTGGTTTGTTTGGGCCTTCCGGGTTGAGTGGCCGATGGTGTTGTGTGTTCTTCTTGGAAGTTTCAATTCTGTTTCGGAGACTTTGTGTGACATCAGTCACACAAAGGTCTGACCTGGTGTAGAAGGCCGCTCCGGATCTATAGTATTTGGGTCACCTGAGCCGTCTGTAAAGTATGATGCTGCATCAGCTGGTGTCTCGGTGGCTATGGCTTCTGAGTTATTCTTTTGAGGTCCTCCTTCAGGTTGGCTTTGCTATCACCTAGTTCAGTGATTTTGAATGTGTCTGGTGGAGGGCTCCATGGTGGAGGAACTACATAATCCTGTCTCGTGTGTCTTGGTTGTTCTTGACGAGTGCTTCTGCTGGCAGGTGCCCGATGACCTCGCTAGCCTCGTGCGACCAGGTGACCTCGCCCTCTGTGGTGGTGGTGGGAGGCACTGATTCGCGTTTTGCAGCTGTGGGCTTATCTGATCTACAGATTTTGAGACCGGCTGTCACCTGCTCGTACTGCCAGGGGTGGTAGTTCAGTTTCCATTTGCAAATTGCAAATTCTGGTCATGGGTCTTGAGAACATTTTTGGTAACTTCTAGCTTAGCTATCAGGTCTTCTCTCTTCAGCCAGGCGCTGGAGCACTGTAATCTACCAGCGATCTGATGGCGGCCGTGTAGTAGGCTTTGAGCACGTGTATGTTTGCTCCTGCGGTTGTGCTGGTGAGCGACCTCATTATGTTGTGTCTGCTCTTCGTCCTGTGCCTGAGATACTCAGTTGCGGCTGAAAGTGAGTTTCTGGTCAAACCAGATTCCAAGACACTGGTGGGTGTTGGTCCAGACTTCGGCGTGTTTTGTATGGAGAGCGTATTGTCTGGTGTGTCTCTAGCAGATGGCCATCGCTTTCGACTTGGCTGGATTTATCTTGAGTCCAAGTCAGTTGTGTAAAGGCGCGTGTTTTCCAACACCTACACCATATCTTACTTACTTCTCTTATCTTAGTTCTTACTCTTACTCAGTTCTTTTGGTAGCATGGTCGAGGGTCTAGGCACATGGGTATTGTAATTCTGGTATCAAGTCACTTGGACGGAAATAAAGGTAAAATACTGTGGGAGAAATGATACACCTAAAAGTACTCTAAGAACAAATTTATTAATATGAAATCAAAGGGAAAAGAGGTATTATTAATAATAACTACCAGGTTCAACTCCTGACTTCTCCTTTACTTATTTTCTTATTTCTTTACTCAACAGTAATTACTCAGATCTTACACTCTTACTGCACACAACCTTACTGGTGTTACATTACATACATAGCAGGACCAGTTCCTTGGCCCTATTAACAATACATAGTATACATGGCACTCCTGGTAGATTACTGTACTTCTCACACCTACTGGTGGTACGTGGCATTACAGTACAGATACAAGACTTTACTCAACATACGTTAATACTGAAAACCAGCAATACTGGGTCCTACCCAACGTGGATAATTATTTCCTAATTATCCCCAACATATATATTACAACACCCTCAGGTTAGAAGGTAAGACAAAAAGTACAATAGTTGTTTAAGTAGTTGGACAGAGAAAATAAACTAAAGTGGTATTATAGGTTCCACACCCTACTACTACTACTACATATTGTTAAATAAGAAATGTACAGTCCCCAAAAGTTTCGTTAGATTTTCGGCCTACAATTTGAAACACGAGTCGAAATGCTTTTGATATATTCCCCAATGCCTCATATGGCCTACTGGCCATATCAACAACGGCAACAGATGGGTAGGATTGGGGAGGGAGTCGTCCTTGCATGGTATACTAGATACGTCATTGTGGTGGCCGGTAATAAAGTCACAGGAAAAAGTCACAGAAAAAAGTCACAATTTTGGCTAGGAAAAAAAAGTCCTGGGAAAAAAGTCACAATTAATTTATGGTGGCCGGTAATAAAGGTTAGGTTAGGTTACCATCAGTTCTGCATATTCCTTTACTGAAACTGATTGACATATTAACCTTAAAATATGTGAAATTCGATAGTTAACTTTTCTTTTTCTGTGACTTTTCCTGTGTTTTACCTGTGACTTTCTTACCTGGATTCTTCATTGTAACACAAATTCATTAAGTTATATTAATGTATGCATCGAGCTGGGTAGAAGCAAGACATGTGTGAACAAGCCACTGTCATGGTCACAAAAGCATGGCTAGTCTTTTTCAACACTTAGTTATTCATTCTATGCTACTGTAGCGTACTGTCGTGGCAGGTTGTTCGGGTCTTTTATTTGCTCAGAGTTCCTGTAGGGCGAGGAGCTTGAGGAGCGTGTGTATGGAGCTGTTGAGGATGTTGCTTGTTGGTGGCGGTAAGTAGAAAGAGGTCGATGACGGCCAGGTGAGGTCATATAGCGGGATAGGCGGCTTGATGGTAGGCCCCGCTTTGTTCGGTCGCTGGTTACCTGACCTTGACCACGAGGAGTGGCGCCGGTAGATTCGCGGGGGTCGGCCAGTCAGCGACACACGGCATTTGTAGGAGGAATCCACTACAATACTCCCCTTCCCTCCGGCGCGACGGGGATGTTAGCCGGGTTTCGTCCCACACGTGATACATGCCGGGCAGGTGTAAGTACCACTCTGCTGCTGCGGGTGATAACACGTTTAGTGACACAGAACCTGTGGGGAGTCAGGGGAGAAAAGAGGGTTTTGGATTAGAGGAGGTTGTACAGGCAATGGTTGTGGGTGCTTCTATAGCGGCTGGGGCAGCTTCCTCAGGGCCACTGGCTGGCTGGGCTGGGGTCAGGGGCGACATCAGGGTCTGACGATGCAGCAGGTTCTATAACAGGAGCAGGTTCCATGACAGGAGCAGGTTCATGGACAGCAGCAGGGTTCACGACAGGAGCAGGTTCCATGACAGGAGCAGGTTCTACTATGGCAGCAGGGTCCAGGACAGGAGCAGGGGGCACCTGAGGGTGAAAAGAGGGTGCCCAAAAATGTCGTGGGCGTGGTGTTGCTGCCGGTGGCAACTGCGGGTAGACTGGTGCAGGCGTCGTTTGTTGGTGGTGCTGCTGGGTCGGGGGCTCAACGGGTAAGGTGGCCGGCTTGACTCTGTCTATGCTGACGGTGTCATGTCTGCCATTCCGGATAATCTTCAGAAACTTCGCTGAACGGGTCACAACCTGGAAAGGTCCATCGTAGGGGCGTTGTAGTGGGTTGCTGTGAGCATCATGCCTGACGAAAACATACTCGGCTGTGAGTAGTGCGGGAGGGATGTGTTCAGGGCGCCGAGGAGGCTGGCGTGGAGCAGTAGCTCTGAATGCAGAAACTGCTTGCCGTAGCTTTTGGAGTAAGTCGTGACGGACGGCATGAGTGGTTTGGTGGAGGTCAGGAGGGAGTGAGAAATCCCCGGGTAGGCGAAGGGGCTTGCCTAGGGTGAGATCTGCTGGGTTGTACTGACAAAGTTTCATTCCTACTAAGTTTCACAACATTTATGTTGATCACGACATGCCTGCTTTGTGAAGAGTGACTCGGCAAATAGTACTTGATATTATAGTGAACAGATACAGTAATATACAATATATCGGTCTACATGGAATCTGCCACGCTACTCATATGCAAATTACATTGGTTTAACACTGAAATAAGGTTTCAAATCGTGGGACTTGCAGGCAACAGAACCTCCCGTTCACCCATACTGTGGTAAGACTTTTGTGTTGCCAGTTGTTTCATGGCGCCTAACCCAGCGTGATACTGTTGGTTCGCTCACCCCAGTTCGTCGTTCTATCTCAGCGTTACGTATACCTGTGGGGTTGTTTGTTCTCTCTCAGGATGGGATGGAGAAAGGAAACTCACAATGTGCTCTCTGTATACATGTTGTATTGGATGTACAATGCAGCTTGGTGCTGGGAAGGCAGTATGGTAATAAACGTTGAGTAGAGAGAGCTGGTTGGTGAGGGTGCTCAGAGGAGGACAGCTTGTGGGAGTCGCCGTGCTCGCAGGGCAGGGAGCGAGGACCTCGAGGAGGACAGGAGGCGGAGGAGGAGGAGGAGGTGTTGCTGGCTGGCTGGTGTAGGAAGAAAAGAGAGAGATCACCACGAGGTCAGGTCTTAAATAGCGGGGGGTAGGCGTGGCTTAGTAGTTGACCTCTGTGATGTATGGCGGTGCTGGTTGACCCAGACCACGAGGCATACACTGGGGAATTCTTGGGGTCGGCTACGCAGCGACAAACAGCGTTTGTAGGGGAGAAATCCACTACATACCCTCGTTGTGAAGGACAACAATAGCACCACTCACATCTTGCTGTCTCCCCGATAATTCCTCGCTCCACTTACTATAAGATCCTGTTGATGACTGGCATGGTGTTGGTGGCATGTACGATAACCACTCCCATTCATGTTATATATGATCAGAAGCCTCGGAGGATTCACAATGTTCAAAAACGTATATACTCAATCGTGTTCAGAGTTGTCGGATGTAGAACTATCTACCGTTCACGTCGAGTAACAGTGCTCGGGAAGCCTCGAATATGGCTGATGCTACTTTTATTTTTGAGGGCTGTACAGTGGCTACCAACATCATCAAGTGGCTGTCGTTTACAAAGCCCAGCCTAATTAATCAAATGTAGTTCTCAGGAGCAGTTCATTACTGTCTCTTAGACCTCTTAAGACTCCCACAGTTTACACAAACAAATGTTCTGTCTTGTAGTCCGTCTGACGTCACCGGGTCTGTAAACAAACAGCTGCTGGCGTCCACAACTCTCAAGCAGTAATATGTGATGTTCCAATATCCAGGTCTAGTCATATTGTATTATTTCACTATTTTACCAAAGTTGGTGTTTTTATCACAAAATGCACAATTGTCATGGTATTTTGGGCAATGCCATTCCACTATACGAAAAATCCAGAAATACATTATATAATTATTTAATGTTAGCAAGATTCATCTAAACTATTTTTTCATTATAACTGAATAGCTGAATGTCATGTTTATATATGTTCAATACCGTGTTCATTATATCCTTAGGTACATCGTTATAGAAGTGGAGATCAGACTTGTTGGCGTGATGTTTAGAGCGGTGGGTGAGAGAGAAAGGGATGGTATCCGGGTAGCCTAGCACCTGCTGCAGGAGGTAGTTGAACTCTGGAGCAATGTTCTCCAGTCGTAAGATGTACTGATACTTCCTCCTGCAGGGTTCGCAATCCTCCGTAAAGGTCATCCAGTGACGATCCATCATACCCAGATTGTGAGTCCATACCACATGGCGCAAAAAGTCTTGGAAGGTAAAGGAAGCATTGCCAAATTGTTCCATTAGTTTGTCCCTGTTGTTGAAACCATACACCGATGCCTGTAGTAACGCAACAAATCTACCGTTGTATATCATGCCCAATCCCGTTTGTAGTATAATATCTCCATATAATTCAGTTGCAACTGAAATCTGTAAGTCATCCGGTGAACTAATGTCAATTTTTCTTACCAAGAAATTATAGGCATCCACGCTCAAGTCTAGCATCTTTGTGAATTTTTCCGTTGGTTGTATGACGCCTTTGGAAATGAGAGCTGGTAGCCAGTACGAGAACCAGCGTTGGCTCCACGTCTCGCCGCTCTGAGTGGTGCTCCTCCACTCGTCATCGTAGTTACTGATGGGTTCGCCGCTCAGGTATTTGTCTCTGGTGCAAGAGGAAGAATGTATAGTTTATTTATTTAATTATGGACGTTTTACACTCAATGGTTTTATATATCTGATAAACGAAGACATTTTATTATGTTAAATGTCATGACTTAAAGTATACAAACTTTTGCTTTAAATTATAAAACCTGGGTTGACTTTAAAATAATAATAATAATTTTACATGTGATAAACTCTGGCTCTTGTTATATTAAAACAAAGACCCGCAGTAGTCTTCAATCACCTCAAAAGGTCAGCGTCTCCTTCCTAACGAGTTAGTATCAAACTAAGTTAAATAATGCAGCGCCAGCAGTGTTGAGATCCTCAACTACATTTTCCTATAACATTCCGTTGTGAAGGTAATGGTAAAAAAAAATAAATAAATAAATAAATAAAATAATCTATATATATATATATATATATATATATATATATATATCGATAAAATCACACGGGAAAAGGGAAACAACGTGTGATTTTATCAAGATTTATCTTATCCACTTTTTCATTGTGGATCTACATGAAATATATATATATATATATATATATATATATATATATATATATATATATATATATATATATATATATATATATATATATATATATATATATATTAGGGTGGTCCTTATTTTTCAACTTTGGAATTTTTTACCACAGACCCTGTTAAAAGTGTCCATTTAGGACAAATACATTGTGTGTAGAGTTATTTTTAAATATATTAATACTTAGAGGTTGCTCAAAGCTGTCAAAAATTAAGTGATCGATGTAGTCGATTACTTTGTAGCCGATTACGCCCACCACTAGTGCGTCGCATTTGGCTCGATTGTGGTGAGTTTTTGCTGGTCGTGATTGATGATTGGGGAAATTAGAAACAGTTCTGCAGAGTATTCTCATTATTAATTTATATTAATAATTAATTTCTTTATTCCTCAGGTCAAAATGGCTAATGCAGGAGTAAAAACACGAGAAAATGTGTATTTGATAAAGACATTATGTGATGACATTACAGGGGCTAAGTTACCTTCAAACAGGCAAGTGTTACAGTATTGTTTAAGCGTGCATCGCATACAGAAAAAACCATCAGGGTGGCAGCTGGGGAAGTCACAGACAAAGTTCTTCAATTTTGGACAAAAGCAAACATTCCCACACACCACAAACCAGATTGTGTGAATCAAGTGCACAAAATGTTTGACAAGTGGAGTAGTTTGAAAAAGAACTCTTCAAGAAAGACAGAAGCTCAAAAGCAGAAAGAGTTCACTGATACTTTTGAAGATCTCTTTGACATTGCACATGTGAATGGTTGAATATGATGACAGTTCAGGAGGATAAGGATTTCTTAATAGCGCAACGAGAAAAAGGGCGTCGTGGGGCAATGTCATCTCTTGACAAAGTATTCCTGAAAAGACAGAAACGACGAGAAAAAACTCTCAAGAAAGCAATGAAAAGGAAGTTGGCTGCAGACAGTGCAGAGGAAGAAGCCAAAAAATGCCAGGCCATCGTTGTCTTGGACAGCAGTAGTACGTCTTCTTCTGAGGAATCCAACCCAGTTCCTGGCCCATCAGCACTTCAAACTCCACCTACTGTCGAGAAGCGTGGGCGAAAAGAAGTTCTAACTCCAGAACTTTCTGCAGCATTAGATCGGACCAAGTCCTCAGATAGAATGGCCATGCACATTGTCACCCAAACTGCTCGGAGTCTGGGCCATGATGTCAGTGAATTGATTCTGAATCGATCAAGCATCAGGAGGAAACGTCAGCATCATCGCAGTAGCAGGGCAGCTGAAATCCTTTCAAACTTCAAACCAGAGTCAGTTTTAATTGTTCACTGGGATGGTAAATTGACAGGGCATGGGGGCCCTGTTGACAGACTCCCAGTTCTTGTCTCAGGCAATGGCACCTCCCAACTTCTTACTGTTCCAAAACTTCCCTCTGGTACCGGTGATGAACAAGCAAAAGCTGTTGTGAAGGCTTTGCAGCAATGGCACATTGCAGACATCGTGCATGGCATGTGTTTTGATACAACAAGCTCAAATACTGGTCACCACAAGGGTGCGTGTGTCAAAATTGAGCAGTTGCTGGGTCGTGATTTGCTATATTTTGCCTGCCGCCACCATGTACTTGAACTTGTAGCTGGAGCTGCTTTTGAAGCTGTAATGGGGCACTCAGCTGCTCCTGACATACAGCTGTTCCGAAGATTCCAAGCCAAATGGGAACAAATTGACAAGCAGAAGTTTGAAGACTCCTCCACCGACGACCTGGCAGAAGAATCGGTCAGAGCTGTTAGGGACGATCTGACCAACTTCATTGAGAAGGCTCTATTGGAGACACAGCTTCGAGATGATTATCGAGAGCTGCTAGAGCTGGCCTCCATCTTCCTTGGCACATCACCTTCTCGGGGAGTACGATTTTCTGCTCCTGGTGCAATGCACCAAGCACGATGGATGGCAAAGACCATTCATTCCTTCAAAGTGTGGTTATTCCGTTCTCAGTTTAAGCTTACTCCAAAGGAGAACAGAGGACTAAGAGATTTGTGCATTTTCTTTGCCCGAATATATGTGAAGGCTTGGACAACTGCTCCACTTGCTGCAAAGGCACCAAAAGGAGATCTGATGTTGCTTAAAGCTCTACAAGACTACAGTACCATCAGCGATGCCATATCAAAGGCAACTTTCCACAAAATGATGAGACACCTCTGGTACTTGTCAGAAGAGTTGGTTGCATTGGCCTTCTTTGATGACGATGTTCTCCCAGCAGTGAAGGACCGCATGTTGGAAGCTATGAACATCGTTATTGGAGAAGAAAAGAATGTCAAACGGGTTACAATCAATCCAGACACACTCCAAGTGAAGAACCTATATGATTTCACGACAAAGAACACAAAGTCATTTTTCAAAAAGCTCAACTTGAATACAGATTTCCTGGCCCTCCCAGTAGAACAGTGGAAAGATGATCCTGGCTTCCAAAATGCAAAAGCCAGTGTACAAGCTTTGTCTGTGATCAATGATCATGTAGAAAGAGGAGTAGCCTTAGGCCAAGAGTTCTCAGGCCACATCACCAAGGACGAACAGCAACTGCAGTATCTACTGCAGGCAGTTGCTGACCACAGGAAATCATTCCCTAATGCCCTCAAGCAGACCTTACTGGGCGACAAAGAGTGAGACTGGTCCTCATGCGACCCCTGCCTTGAGCAGCTAATACCCACTTAGACTAAGTGGGGGGGGGGCAGGCTTGGGGGCTAGGAAATGATGTGTTATGAACATTAAGCACAGGCATAATATTGTTAAATTTCATTTGACTTGAGCAACCTCTAATTATTAAGATATTTAATAAATATTTTACAGGCAATGTTTCTACCCCAAATGAAAACTTTTGCCAGGATTTGTGACAAAAAAATGGCAAATTTTGTTTTTTGCCCCAAATAAAGGACCACTATATATATATATATATATATATATATATATATATATATATATATATATATATATATATATATATATATATATATATATATATATATATATATATATATATATATATATATATATATTCATTCAGAAATTTTAGTGTGATGTTTAGATACGTTTGAACGAAAATTGCCGTTCTGCCAAACACAGGGAACCATCAGAGAAACAGCCAAGACGCCCGAGCCTCGTGGCGAGTCAAACAAGGGCAAGCAACGCCCCACCCAAGTGCGGTGGAAGCTTTTTGAACTAGGCCTATTAAAATTACATGTACATTATCGAATTAATATGGACACGATTCATGAAGATAAGGGACTATTATTAAATTTAAAGTTACTATAGATCGCTTCTCAGTCTAAATATGTTACGTGTGTCCCAAAGAAACTATTTATTATGCGGAAAAATGACGTCACTAGGCAGGCTCGCCTTGGGGAGACGCGAAGTCTCCAGAGGGGTCAGTTTAAATGATATCGAAGTCTTTAAACTGCGAGGGGAACATATGGGCACGGGGGTGGAGGAGACTGCAGTGGGAGCGGGTAAACAAAGTGAAAGATTACAGGGAAATAGTGTTAGGAATGACGACAAAACTGCATTAGACAGGGAGTTTAAACTAAACGCGGTAAGGGGAGGACTCAGAACACGACTAACTTAAATGTCTACTACGCGAACAGAAGAAGTATGAGAAACAAAATGGATGATATTAGGGCCTTGGTATGTACCGAAAAAATCGATGTAATAGCATTCACCGAAATATGGATCAACCTAGACTTAAGTGAGTTACCTGTCGAATACCAAATTGCTGGTTACAAATTGTTCCATACCGATAGGCAGACCAGGAAAGGAGGCGGAGTAGCAATCTATGTCAGGGATAATCTGAAGTGTGAACTAAATAAGGAAATAAAAACTGAGCGGAATACAGAAACAATTTGGATAGAATTAATCGACGGTCGGGAAAAATTAATCACAGGAGTAATATATAGACCTCCCAATCTTGATAGCGTCAACGAGCGACTTATCTGGGATGAAATGCGCAGGGCTTCCACACACAACAAAGTCTGTATAGTAGGCGACTTTAACCTTGGCCAAATAGATTGGACTGACCTTACGGGTAACTCAGAATCAGAGGATTTTCTCGAGACGATCCAGGACTGTTTCCTAAGTCAACATATAACCGAACCCACACGGGGTAATAATATACTCGATTTAGTTCTGTCGAACAGAGAAAACCTCATTAGTAATGTCGAGGTAGGGAACGAACTTGCAAACTCGTAACAATGGTTTTAAATTAGACAAATTTAGATTTAGGCGTGAAATCGGTAAACACTGGTTTGGAAACAGAGTAGTGGATGAATGGAACAAGTTAACAAACATCATCATTAACTAGAATACGCTGAATAGCTTCAAACACAGGTTGAATGCTTATATGAGCAATAGGGGTTGGGTGTAAACAGGACTGCCCAGTATGGGCCAATAGGCCCGCTGCAGGTTCCTCCATTCTTATGTTCTTATGCTCTGAGCATATGTGTGATGCACGTTAC